TCCGTTCTCTATCTCTGGGGTAACAAGCTCTCTGGCTTGATACCTCCAGAGATTGGATCACTGCAATCTCTCAGTTCCCTTGACTTGTCGAGCAATGATTTAACTGGTAGGATCCCTTCTTCTATTGGAAATCTGAGAAACTTATCAATTCTTTCTCTCTTTGATAACAAACTCTCTGGTTCCATCCCTTCTTCTATTGAAGATTTGAGAAACTTATCCACTCTCTCTCTCTCTGAAAACAAACTCTCTGGTTCCATTCCTTCTTCTATTGGGAACATGACTATGCTCACTGGACTTGATCTGAGCATGAATAATTTATCTGGATATGTTCCTCAGGAAATAGGACAACTTGAATCCCTTGTTGAATTGAAGTTGTCCCATAATAATCTCAATGGTTCGCTGCCCCCCGAGATGAATAATCTCACACATTTGATGACTTTGCAATTGTTTTCAAACAATTTCACTGGCCATTTACCACGAGATTTGTGCCTTGGTGGGTTGCTCGTAAATTTTTCAGCCGGCTACAATCATTTTTCTGGTCCAATCCCTAAAAGCTTGCGAAATTGTACTCGTCTGTTTAGAGTTAGGCTTGAATGGAACCAATTGACGGGGAATATTTCTGAAGATTTTGGCCTCTACCCAAACTTGAACTATGTGGACCTAAGTCACAATGATTTCTATGGTGAGCTTACTTGGAAATGGGGAGGTTTTCACAACTTGGCGAGCCTAAAATTGTCAAACAATAATATCACCGGTGAGATACCATCAGAGCTTGGAAAGGCGACTGGGCTACAAATGATTGATCTCTCATCAAATCTCCTAAAGGGGACAATTCCAAAAGAATTGGGGCAGTTGAAGGCGTTGTTCAACCTTACTCTTCATAACAACCATCTTTTTGGTGTCATTCCCTTTGAAATCCAAATGCTATCTCAACTTCGATCCCTTAATTTAGCTTTTAATAATCTTGGTGGATCAATCCCAAAACAACTGGGAGAGTGCTCAAATTTATTACAGTTGAACTTGAGTCATAATAAGTTCATAGGAAGCATCCCATCTGAGATAGGCTTCCTGCATTTTCTTGGAGATTTAGATCTCAGTGAGAATCTACTGGTAGGAGAGATACCATCAGAAATTGGGCAATTGAAACAGTTAGAAACGATGAACCTCTCTCACAACAAACTTTCCGGTTTGATTCCAACTGCTTTTGTAGATTTGGTGAGCTTGACAACTCTAGACATCTCCTACAATGAACTAGAGGGCCCTATCCCCAAAATCAAAGGCTTCAATGAAGCTCCATTTGAAGC